TATAAATGCATGTCTATAATTGGGTTTATTTATAAATTTGTAAAAAATTATTTACCTTGCTTTTGATTAGAAAAAAAAGAAAAAAGAAAAACAGAGGAGCCTCGTCTAACGCAGAAGACCACCATATACGGATTTTTCTCAGTCTTGTTCTTTATCTGCATCTTCTCTGTGTCTATGTGAGCTTCCAAAAAAAAAAAAAAAAAAATTTAAGACCACCATATATCACCATGACCAGTCCCCCTGAAAATCCTGACGTGACCATGACCCCAGTTGAAGAAGAAGTTCCTCAACAAAACCAAAACCTTGATTCTGAATCTCATTCCCAATCTAAAACCCTAACCCTAGAACCCACTCAGGACCCAGAAATCCAACAAAACCCTCTTCAATTGGATGCAAACAAACCCAAACTAGAGGAATTTCCCGTCCGATCTCCTCGTAGTACTACCATAACCTTCTATCGCCGAACAGGAACGAAGCGAAAGAAGTTGGGCCAGAAGCGAAGAGCTGCTGTTGCAGGAAAGAAGTCTGAGCAGAAGCTTCAGATTCAGAAAGAATCCCTAAACCCCATTCCGTTCGTACCCGTCAAAAGTCTCGACTTTGAGAAACACGAGAAGCTCCTCAAATGGCTGAACTTGTGGGATTTCGTTCATATCGACTTCGATCGGACTATTCGAGTTGACCTTCTTGCCGAATTGATCTCTCACTTCAACCCTAACATGCGGGGTAGCTATGTCAATGGGGTCAGGATTATGGTCAACCGGGCCGACTTGGCAAGGGCCTTGAAGCTGCCGGTGAAGAAGAGTGCAGTGGCGGATGGCGCTGAGGAGCCTCCCGCTGCTTCCGAGGAATCGATAGCTTTCATTGAAGAGTTTGTATCGAATTGGGTGCTTTTGCACGAGGATACGTGGATGATGCCGAGCGAGGTTTTGAATTGGACTAAAGCAATCAAAGAAGGGCACTTTGGGAAGGTGGATTGGGCTGGTTTGATTTGGTTTATGGTGGAGAAGGAGTTAGCTCAGGCGCCCAAATTGGGGGATTGTTACTATGCATCGCATTTGCAGTGTTTGATAAAATCGCAACGTGAGGAGTTGTTAATGGTGAAAGCACAAGAGCCTACGGTTCATGTTGATCTGGATGTGGATGTGGATGCGGATGCGGATGCGAAGGAGGAAGAGGAGGAAGATGAAGAGGATGGTAATGGGGATGTGAAAATGGGTGGGGAGAATGATGTTAAGGGATTTGGATTGGAAGAGAAAAACATTGAATTGTGTCTTGGGCAAGAGAATGTGGATAGAGCTGATGTTGGGCAAGACAATGTGGAGAGAGCTGATGTTAGGCAAGACAATTTGGAGAGAGCTGATGTTGGGCCAGATAATGTGGAGAGAGATGATGTTGGGCAAGAAAATCTCGAGTTTAGTGTTGAGAAGGTGCATGTAGGGGTTGAGGATGCAATGAATTTTGAAGAATGTAAGGTGGAAGAGCATGGACAATGGCTTTTAGATGGGAAGAGTAATGTAAGCGAACCTTGTTTGCAGCGGTGTAATAATCTTGGTGAAGTTAAGAGTTTGGGTTTTGGGGAAGAGGGACAAAAAGGTATGGAGGTTGGAGGAGTAGAGGAAGAAGGAAATGAAGAGGAGGAAGAAGGTGAAGAGGAGGAGGAAGAGGGAGGTTTTCACCTTTCACTCAAGGGTATGCCATTAGAGGGGTTGCCTTCAGGTAGTCTTATTCAGGCAATGGAAGCTGCACAAATTCCTCTTAGTTCTGGTATGCCAATGCGAGATCATTTCTCTGGGGAGTTTGTTTCTTCAAGGGATGATAGCCGAATGCTTCCTGGTAGTTCCTCACTCTTTGGAAGTGGTCTCAAGAGAGAGCTTATGCACGAGAATGCCAACTCTCATCACCCTCTCAATGGTAATAAGCGGTTGAGGATTGATGGCCCCTGGGATGGTAAGCTTTCTGGTGAATTTGAGACTTGTATGGAGCAAATGCAGCACTGGATGGAAAAAGCTAGAATGGTGTATGTGGAGAAAGAGCAAGCTTGCGAGGAATCTACTGTTCACCGGCAGATGTTAATGGATGGATTGCAGCAAAGGGATGAGATGATTGATCACTTGCATAAGGTCAAGGCTGAAGAGCAGCATAAGAGAGAAGTCGAGGTGTATCGTCTTGAGCGTGAGCTCTATGTAATGGGAAGTCTCTTGGATGGCTATAGGAAGGCTTTAAAGGAAACACAAAAGGCATTTGCTGAATATAGAGCACGTTGTCCACAGGCAGATGAGCCACTCTACAGGGATGTTCCTGGGTCTGGGGGCCTTGTTTTGAGCACTATGGAATTGGAAAAGCAACGCCTGAAGAAAGAAGAAGAAGAGAGGATGAACCGTCAGTTGATTGAAAAAAAGATTAGAGACTTTGAAGCTGGGTGGATTAGCAACTTTGAAGCACACCACAAAAATGTTGAATTATTGAGTAACAGGTTGCCGGATGTAGAGAATGAAGTGAAACTTCTTCAAGAACGGCTTGCAAAACAGAGGACTGCAAAAGTAACAGAATCTGCCCCAAATGATACAGAATGATGCATGGTAAGTCACAATTTGTGTTATCAATGTGTAAAACATATGTAGCTTTAGTTAGTTATTTGATGTGACTTTGTCCTCATGTTGTGATGCAGTATCCCCCTACCTTATAATCAGACAAAAGCGTTAATATCTAAAAGTAAATCTGAGATCATTCTACTTGATTCTCGTGGTGTCTGGATTTTGGGAATTTTCATATAAATGATAACATTTTTCGAACTTTTCTTGCATCTATATATCACTGTGTGATGATATGATCTTACTGCAGTTTGACTCTATAGTCTATCTTTGAAATGAAAAGAATAGATTGGACCACGGCGCAAATCTACTTAATCTTTTAGAGTTCTTCTACACCACTACAATCCCAGTTGCCTTGTCTAACTACTTATATTGGATAGGGAAATTGTTTTGAGATTAGGTCCAGGTATGGGGGTGGCACACGATGTTGTGGAGAGGAGAGTTTCTTCCCATAGAGAAAGATGCATGTTCCAAAGCCCCTCTTAGGTTAACCCCCTTTTTATCTGGACATTAACCCCTTGGTGGATCATCTTTTGGTGCATGGTCCGCTGGCATGGGGATGGTTGTGGCTTTTGCTTTGCTTGGAGTTCTTGGGTGATCCTGAAGAGAACAAAGGGGTCTTCCTTTGAGATTCTTGTCATGGAAAGTTTGAGAGAGAGAGAGAGAGAGAGAGAGGGAGAAGATTCATTGAAGAATGTGTCCTGGTCTTATATATTTCTCCTACTGGTTTGGCAGGTGTTGACAGTCAAAAGAAAAGAAAGTTTCAGTTAATATGCATCTATACTTGTTTAATCAGTGTAGTGGAAATTATGGATCCAGTGGTGGTGGTAGGGTGGTAGTGTTGGCCCCTTCACTCATGACGATGTCAATTTCCTAATTGGCAATGGACTTTCTTATACAATCATCTCCATCATATAGGTGGCATCATTTGTAGTGATGGTTTTGCTGCCAATGCTGTGCCCTGAAAATTTAGTGCTATTTGTCTTAGTATCTTCACTAGAGACCCCACTGAGTCATGGAAAAGGCTTTATGCCTATAATAGTTTTTGCTTACATACAAGATTGTGAGCTGCTTTTCTTTACTAGCGTATTGGCATATGAGACATTGTATGAGCTTGTATTATGCACTGCACACCCAAGCACTGGTGCCTGAATCCAAGTGTCCCAGTAATTCATTTATGGGGCCACAAGAGGTGCTGGAATTGTTTTCATGAGGTGTTCATTCTTTTGTTTTCATGAATCTCTTGTTATTTTCAATCACTTTTACATGTGATGCTTTTTTGGCAGGCTGGAGAGTGTTGAGTTCTGCAAACACATGCCACAAGCCTGGTGCAAGTTCGGACAGGATGGGGAGGAGGCGATATACGTATGGAAGATCTGTGCACTGTTTGTAGTTGACTCTAACGTTTTGCTTTACTGGTAGTCTGCTTTATATTAGAGGTATAACTAGCTTGTATGGTATCCGTAAATATATTAGGATTTTATGCTTATCTTTGTTGGGCATAATTTCAATTTGCGTAACATTTGAAGCATGCATGCCTATAGGTTAGTGAACCAGCGAAGGTCTCTTTTGAAAATATGTTTGGTTTTGATATCAGTCATGTTTGCAGGGCATGGTCTTAGTAATGGCCTGCAAACTCAAGTATGAAGCCATTGAAGCGGATCTATCTGGTCTGCTGGAACTTGTAATTATACCTACTGATCATACTTGTGCCTTAAGTTAGTAAGATTGGCGTATTATGCTATTCATTGTGGTGTTTATAAATCAGAATTTTGCTATTCTCATCTGCTGGCCTGCTGTGCTGCCTTTTGAACCTTGGAGACCTGTTTGAATGAAGTGAGAACAGGATTTGGGGCCAACCAAGGCACTTCTTAAATTTTATTTTTTTCCAAGTGTATTTTTTATTTTTAAATATAAGTGATAGTTTAAATTATTCTAAATTAAATTAATCTACGGGGAGGGGGATTCGAACGTGGGTGCAAGGCGGGATCACTGCCTTCGGCAATTGGCCTAACCCACGTCTTCTGCAACTAGCCTACGAGTGGTGTCAGGTTCAAACCCCTGTGAGAAACCTCCCCTCCCCCAATAACGTGTATATAAAAATAGAAAAGAAAGTGAACTGAAAATGACACAATTTAAGCCTCGATGCAATTGAAATTTCAGTGTTGGATAGCGCGAGCAAGAAAGAAAACCAACATAATGAAACGTCCCATATCCCAGGGACATTACAATAGAATACTCCTTGGAATGGTTTGCACATCAATGAATTATTTGGATTGAATCTGAAACTGAAACTGAAACTGAATCTGCACAGAAGATGAATTCATTGAATGTTAAGATGCAACAAAAATAATAAAAAAGTGGGGTCACCGAACGCATATCCAATCAGCAAAAACTTCTATTAAATCACGAATATTAAATATCACAAAAACTTCTATTGGAAAAATCACAAAAGCGAAATAGAGTATTTTGGTGGTAAAGCCGCTTATTTCCAATCAGCACCAACGCGAACCGCCTGCTCTGGATATTGTTGTGCGCGTTGACCTCTTTATTCTTCGCGGGGCCTCCGCTCTTCGTCTCCAAGCACAAAATCTATAAATAGCACACCACAAAACTCGGATCCATATTCACAGAAAGGAAATCAAAACCCAGAAACAAAGATGGACGACAAAGAAGATACCAACAGAGTCGGCGAAATCGAGGAATCGGACCCGAAATCCGACGGGTCATCCCGGAACCCGAATCCGATTCCGAAAACCGCGAGGACGAAGGTTCCAGAAGTGGAGGTCTACTTGTATCGGCGAGGCAAAGGCCCGATCGACACGTTCAGGACGAGCCTCGGGGGTTGGGACCAGAACCAGTTGGAGGTGCGAGACATTCTTGACAAGTATGGCTTCAAATCGCTTTACGCTTTCAATACCGGGTCGGGTCGCGGCGTTCCGATCCGGTTTAACCCCAGGAACGGCAGGTCAATGCTGGCTTATAAAGATGGATCTACGGTTCACATTGACGGAGAGCCCAAGGTACTTCATTTCTGTATCCTTTTCTCTTTTTATGAAAACCCAATTTGTGAAATTAATCGAAGTGAGTTTCTGTTTGGTTGCCGAGAAAATTTGGTTGCATTGGGTAGAAATAAATGTAACTTTAATGCGATCATACGAGATTCTGAATTTGAGTGTGAGATAGAATAGATAGAGAAGTGTTTGACATTTAATGGAGAAATTTTCATATTGAGAATGCTTTGTTAAGGCACTCTCAATTAGCAATAGGGTAGTTCCTCCATACAATCAAAACCTTTAAAGCAAGATATATTATAGCAATTTACTTCGTTGAATTTGAGCCATCAATTTCCATGCTTGTTTTCTGTTCTTTTGTTTGCATGACATTGTGTTTGCAGCCTAGGAATGGATGTGATTTTGACTATTGAGTTCACCTAAAGAACTTGGCGGATTCATCTTATTGGTTTTGATCATTTATATGATAGACACTGAGTTTTACAACCACATATTCCTAAAAAGTAGGATTTCACAGCATTTTTCTTGAAGAATTCTTTTTCATTTGTTGGAAAATTTGGCATCAAAGTAATAATTTGATCTTTCAAAATAAGACTCCATCCCTTAATCAAGCCATTAGTCATATTAAATTTCTCCAGTATAAAGTATTAAGTAATGACATTCAGTTGGTTAAGAGCATTTATCCATACACGAGAGGCCTTAGGTTCGATTTCCACTCCCTCAATATCATTTGTACCAAAAAAAAAATACAAATTTATAAATAAACCCAATCCTAGACATGTATTTATAAAAAAACCCAAACACTATTTAAACATAGAAACACACCCAAAATCAACCCCAAAGTCAACTTTTTGGGTGTGTTTATAAATGAGTTTTGAGTGTGTGTAATGATGGGTTTTGGGTGTGTTTATATGTTTAAATAGTGCTTGGGTTTTTTTATAATTTCAGACCCCATTTTGGGTGTTTTAGTGAAACTCCCAAAAAAAAAAGGCACAAAATATTGTCCTCCAATTTGGTTAGGTAAATAATAACCTAATAGTTGTATTTAATCTAAAGAGGACGCTTGAAGTTCAAATTCTCTATGCACACATGATGACGTATGATAACAGTCTGAGGTTTAGGTTGAGATGTAAAGGGTTATGTATGCCTATTTTAGCTTAGAAATATAAAAGTAAATTTAATGGAAAGACCCAAAAGAAATAACCAAAATTTGAAGTAATTTTGGATATTTCCATTGGAAATCTAGAGATACTGAAGAGAAGAGATTAGAGGTGAAGTTGAACAAGCATGAGAAACAGCTGAGAGAAAGGGAGATGCATTTGAACTGAAGATTTGCTGAATTGAACTCAAATATTGTATAACAAACATGAAAATCCACATATTTGGGACACAAGAAAACAAAAGCTAAAGGAAGAACCAAAGATAGTAGCTCAAGACCACATAAGTAACTCTTACCCAAAAGTTAATTTAAAGATTCCATGAAGCAGTAACTCATAGTGAGACAATCCAAAATGGGTTCCTACAGTTCGGGGTTTCTTGGCATTCGTCTGACAAAAACAGGACCCCTTTCCTAAAAGTCAAAATGGCAAAAGTTCCTGTAAAGAACCTGCAGGATTCATCTTATAGGTTTTGATAATTTATATCATAGACACTGAGTTTTACAACCACATATTCCTAAAAAAAACAAGGATTTCACAGCATTGTTAAGGTGGGTCTTTTCCCGTTTTTGGTTTTATGGTCAGAAACTGTTGCTATTAGCACAGCACCACATACTTTCTTATGTGTTTATTGTCTATTTCATGAGCAGTCTGTCAGGATCTCCTGTATCTTTTGTCTTTCCACCCTCGCATTTCCTTCTAAAAGACAAATAATTTGATTTTCTCCCATGTAAAGGAATGCTCTGCAGGTGGACTGTTTACAATTTATTTGCCACAAGATTCTTTGATATGCATTATGTTGCAGACAGTGGAATGTTGCAGTGACATGTGATATGTCTTTTGGTACTAATTTTCCTACTTAATTCTTCTCTAAATGCAGGATTCCTTGATCCAACCGGTGACAAAAATCTTGCTTGGAGTAGCTGTTATAACCGTCTTGATAACCTTGGTTTTGAGAGATCCTCCACAGTGGGTCCAAAAATTGAACATTTCTGGCTTGAATTTTCCTCCTTGGATCATTGCTCTGGTGGTAGTAGTTTTTACTCGGATGAGGAAGAGAACCGGAGATTTGCTGAAAAAGTATGGTTGGTGAAAGGCGCCATTGATGCTTTCCCTTGTAAGGCCTTTTTGTTTCTCAAATTTTGTTAAAAAGAATTTGATTCAGTGTCAACTGAATTTTGATGATGAAGCAAGTGATGCTCATCTGGACGTCGTCATAACTGTAATTGGCGACAAGCTGCACTGAAAGATAAATTTGGTTATGAAATACCAAACCTCGGAAACAACATTCCTAAGATCATCTTGTTGCAACATTAAGATTCAAAACAATAGATAGATAAATGGGTGATTATCAACTGGTTTATAAATTAACTGGGTTTATAAATAGTTTCATAAGATCATCTTGTGGAATATGTTTCTACTACTTGACGCCTTAAATGCCTTTAGCTTATAGGACTTAATAAACCAGCATAAAGAGTGCTAGCTTTTTTCTTCTCATGGTACTTTGATTCAAGAAGTACATGTTAGCTAAATCTGCCTCAATCTTGAATGTTTGAAGTTTTATGCTCTTCTACATTACAATCCTACTTGGATCTCTATTTTCGTTCTTAATTGTATATGTAAGACAATGGCATTAAAATCACTGTCAACTTTTGGATCCATTACTTCTAGTTTGAATTACATTGGATGTTTGTTCGGCCCTCAGTTGTGCTTAATCAGTTGTAAAACATGTATATACTACATGAGTTGATTAATGCTCTGTAGTAGTTTAAACAGAAATGCATTCATGACAAAAGCACATGAAGGGAGAGAGAGAGAGAGAGAGAGAGAGAGGAATTGTCATCCACGAAAGTGATGAATCTAATGGTAAATGTATGGCTAGAAAAGATAGTGATGGGAACCTTACTAATATCAATTGTGAGAAGACCGTCATTAGCCTTTCAAGTATTTATGTGCAGACGTTTGAGGAGGCGGCGTTTTTAACAAAGGTCGCAAAAATTTAGCTGCTCTTTTAAGAATAACAGTTTTTATTAAACTTTTCAACAATAGCGAAAAATAAGAGGGTGCAAGGCCTAAGTAGGAAATCAAAGTGGTTACCCTCCAAATCAAAAGTCCTATGCACTCCCATTGTTCGCTATTGTTGAAGGATTTCATAAAAACTGCAGTCGTTAAAAAGAGGGAGAAAATCTTTACAAGTTTTGTTAAAAACCATTTGGAAAGAGCAAAGCTTTTGCGGCAGAGAGATTTTTGGTGAGAGCTTCCACTTGCACTTGCACTTGCATCAGCTGAATTGTGAGGAGAAGTAGCTTTTGTGCTGATGTTGATGGAGTGGTTCATCATCATGATTTGGTTGAGTTCTTCCACGTCTTGTTTGTGCACCAAACGGAACCCACACTTCTTTATACCCGAGTAATATACGGGCGTCCATCCTTTATAATAATAAGATTGGAATGAAATCTTCATCTGACTGCATTCTTTGTCGACTACATAATGATATACACAAGATACCCAAAGGTGAGGTGACACAAGATGGCCTCTATCAATGGGTGTACTATGCACAGCGGCACCTTCTCCTAGGCGACATTCAATTTGAAAATTTGGGTGATCCACAGGGGCACCTTCTTCAAAGACAGCACAAAAAGCAAACCAAATGGACGTGGTACATGGAGGTAGCTCCACAATTAAGGAATCTCCTACATTTTGATTATTGAACCACTCTGGAATTCTACTTCCAGGTGTTACAATTTGGAAAGCGGGAGTATTTGAAATTGGCGAAGTGAGTAAAGGTACCTGTGTACTATGTATAGGTTAGTAACTTGATTATTTATTTATTAATATAGCAAACAAAGAGAGACAGAGAGACAGAGAGAGAACCTGAAGGAATCCCCAATCCAGAGCAGTCCAGAGCATTCCAAGTTTGGCAAACAAAGAGAGAACCTGATGATTATTTATACTATCATCGCAGCCATCATTCTCAACCAATCCATAGCAATTCACACAACTCAACGAAACATGACATCTTCCTTTTTTTATGCTCAACTTTGGCAACGTTTTTAAGGAAGGGCAATCGTCTGTGTACATGTAAATATGTCTGAAGCCTTCAATGAATCCAAAGCGGAGATGGGGCAATTGTTGAAGCCTTTGGCACCCACTCACCGAAAATGAGCAAAGCTTAGGAAGACATCCAATGCTTGCAGGAAGGCTAACAAAATTGTTTCGACTGAGGTGTAATCGTTCTAAAGAGGACAAGCAGCCAATATCACATGGAATATCCCCTTCACTGAGACCACAATCACTCACATCCAAATACTTCAAAGACCATAAACCATGTAGCGAACCCAACACAAAAGCCTTTCTTTGGAGGCCCCACCAAAACCTTGATTTATTACGCTCTGATTTATTAGGCATACAGATCTTTAAAGAGCCCCACGAGTTTTCTGGGCGTTTGTCATTGTATGAGCATCCATTCACACAGAGCTCTTGAAGAGACTTCAAATTACAAATTTCGCTCGGAAGACCCAAGAGATTTTCACAATTGCTTACATCCAGTAAAGTAAGGCCAACAAGACGTCCAATTGATGAAGGTAATTTTTCAATGGGCGTCCCACTCAAAATAAGCATTGACAACTTTTCCATTTGTCTTGAAAATTCTGGAATCTTTTTCAGTTTTGAGCAACCATCAAGACTGAAATGCACAAGAGAATCCATTTCTACCTCACTTGGAAGACTCTTAACACTTTTGCATCCATCTAGTGTTAATTCTGTAAGCCATTTTAGATATGCAACGGACGGGTGAATCTCAACTAAATTCTCACACCCTTCAAGAATCAACACCTCGAGTTTTGGAATGCCAGTGAAATTTGGGGTTGTTGCCAAGTTTCGAGAGTGACTAAGGTCCATGTATTTCAAATTGGGCAAGTCCTGTACAATATTACATGAAAAATAGTAGAATATATAATTAGCAACCAGAAAACTTAAACTTTTACTCTCTTTTTTCAAAAAATTCGTACGATGGCATATGGTCAGTAATCTTACAATTCTGTCATCCCAGAGCCCAACTAGTTTGCTGTCCTGCATCTCAAGTGAAACAAGTTTATTCGGTTGAAAATTTGATGGGAGATATTTGGAAGAATACCGATTCCATTTCATAATTCTTAAGGAATTAGGAAGAATTCTGGGGATTGACATTGGGGAAATGATCACATTATCAACTTCAAGAAATTTCAGGTTATTCATCTTAGAGAATGCTTCACAATTCCAATCCACATTTTCAAGTTCTGCCATGCTTAAGGCAATGCCCTGAATTTTTTTACTTGCCTGTAATAAAGAAAAGAAAAGGAAAAGTTAATTTCACATGTAAGTCTAATATTGAGTTAAAAAGAAATCATATTTCTTTAAAAAAAGAAATAATAATAAAAATTGGTACTTTCTACATAACTTCTTACCGTATTGTTTATCAATACATGAATGATGTCATTACGATGACACAATCGACTGCGTCCACCAGGCTCTTCAGGAGACTCTTGACGAACAATTTCAAATGCCATTTCTTGTATCAAATCATGCATCCCAACAATGTTTTTTGAAATATAAATGGTTAAGAGTGACTTCTCAACCAGAGCATTTATCCCACAACAACGGTCACAACTGTTTAGTATTCCAATTACTTCATTCTTGTCCTTCCCCTTAAGGAAAAATGCAACATCAAGAAATATATTCTTGTTCATCTCATCTAGTCTATCAAAACTGATTTTGAGCAAATCGAAAATTTCTGTCTTAGGAATTTTCTGTAGCTTATTCAATTCATTTTTCCATTCATCTTGATCTCTCTTATACACAGAGCATCCCAAAATTTTAAGAGCTAATGGAAGGCCTCCAGCATAATTTACAAAGCACTTGGACAATTCCCAAAAACCTTCCTCAGGCTCAAATTTTTTAAAGGCATTCAGAATAAAGAGCTCAAGAGCCTCATCATCACCTAATCCCTCTACCTTATATGATATCTCCATATCATGCTTTTTAACCAACCGTTCATCTCTAGTTGTAATGATGATTATACTCCCCTTACCAAACCAATCCATTTCCTTAGCAAATTTCTCTAGTTGGCTTGATGCATTCACATCATCAAGAATGAGAAGAACCTTTTTATTACATAAGCAATTCTTAATGAAATGGGTCCCCCAGTCTTCATTCAAAACTTGAGTAATTTGTTCCTTCAAGATAGGGAAAAGAAGCTGTCTTTGTAGATCAACAAGATGATTACCTTCAGAAGCCTCTCTAACATTAGCAAGAAAGCAGGGAACTTCAAAATGAAAAGAAATGCTTTCATAAACAAGCCTAGCAATGGTGGTCTTGCCAATGCCTCCCATCCCCCATATCCCTACAAAGCGAACATCATCTGTAGGAGCTACAAGCAAATCCATTTGCTCACGTGTAAACTTAATTCCCACTAACTCTGTTGAATCTAACAATTTGAATGTGCAATGCACTTTCCTCCACACCCATTCAACAATCTTTTCAATGAGCTTTCTTTCACACCTACAAGGAAGAACAATGATTAAGTCAAAAGTATAAGCCTAAAGGTACATCAAAGTGAAAATTGGCTTACGAAAAACCCAAGTATATATGGAGAAGTTGCTTACTGATTCTTTGAATCCAACCCAGATAAATTGGCAACTTCTGTTAAAGCAGCTCTCCAGCGCTTCACCTTTTCCATGTTTTCCCTAAACCTTTTCTCATGCTCAGTGAACACGCCTGCAAAACTGCCACTTTGTTTTCGCACATCAGAGGGATCCACATTATAAAACACAGGCAGAACTGTGCCGTTGGATTTCATGCATTGGATAATCTTTGTAAGTTCATCCAAGCACCAGGAAGAAGAAGCATAGTTTGGCGAGAGAACAACGATTGCAAGCCTTGATTCTTGGATTGCTTTGAAGAGCTCAGAAGAAATAGTTGTCCCTCTTTCAAGCTCTGGATCATCCATGAATGTTTTGATGCACCTGTTCTGCAATTCGTGGTATAAATGGGATAAAATGCCATTTCGAGTGTCTACACCCCTGAAACTCAAAAACACATCGTACTTCCAATGAGGAGGAGCCGACTGATCAGCTGAAGGATGAAAAGCAGAGGTTCTTTGGGTGCTCAACGCCATTGGAAATCTGCTGCTTCTGCTGTAAACACCACTCAATGAAACAAGAACTTCGGTAATTAAATATTCAAAAATCGAAACAGTCAACTGAATAAATACGAAGATTATCATAAATGGCTTGAAAAATGAAAAAGATTGAAATTGAAATTTGGTAAATGAAAATTTAGATAGTCGAACATTACTTCTAATTCAGCAGAGAGAAATTCAACATATTATTTAGCACAGCTCATAAGGAACAAAAAGGACCAATTTCAACATTAAAACAAAAATATCATGTCATCTCAAATAATGGGTTGGCATTAAAAAGCCTCATCACTAACTACACCAGTCAACTAAAAACTGCAAATGCTTTATCTTAATGTTACCTGAACAAGGCAATTATATAAAAATGGAGACGAAGCAAGGCAGCAGCTTTAGCTTAATGTTACAAGTTACAACGCCAGAGAATTGGTAAGACAACAACCACAAGATCAGCAAGCCAACAAGAAACTCACAAAAAATACAAGATCAGCAAGAAGCAAAGCTAACAGCCTCAGAAAAGAGATGCACAGAGAGAGAGAGAGAGAGAGAGAGAGATAAGTAGTGGCGAACAGAGAGAGTGGTGTAGAGTACACGGCTTTTATGGTCAGCTATCTCCAACGTCTCCAATGGGAGTCCAAGTCTTCTTGTGTCAATGAGTCATTTCATTTGCTTTTCAATAAAGAGGAAGGAGGGTCTCATTTCATTTCCGACAAGTTCTTATGAGTGTCAGGCCAATTTTTTTGACTTTTTATTTTTATACTTGCCAGGCCAATTATTTGAATGGTTTCTTTTCTTGGTAAACTGTGGTGAGATTTTTTGTTTTTTATTTTTTGGTCACACGATAGGGAAAAACTGTGGTGTGGAAGGAAAAGGCAATTACTTGATCTTTTCAGCCGCACAGCGTCTCCCAATGAGAAAGGATGGAGGCAACATACGAAATTTCATGGCAGTTCACTCTCTGAAATGGGTTTTCTCTTTCTTTAGCTTTATTTTTTTAAAGGTTTTTTAGGTTTTAGACATAAAAAAATTTTCACTTTTAGAAAAAGCCAAAGCTTTTTCAAAAAAGACAAAAAAACCGTTCAACTTTCAAATCAAAGACATGCAAAATGTATTGGATTCCTTAGGAAATCTAAAAATAAATAAGGGCATTTTTGTCCATTTTTGCTTCTTTTAAAATTTTTCTCTCTCCTTTTGCTTTTTCTAAAATGTCCCTTTTTTTTTATCACCCTCTCTGGGGTATTGTGATCACTAAAATGAACGGAGCATATCTATGCTTGTATGTAGTAATGTCAGTCTTCTTATAGCGCTCCAAAATGATTTCCCTAGCGTAGTGAACAGATGGAAACCCACAAGAAAAAAGTATGAACATATGGAAAAAAATAATGGAAGAGAGAGAGAGAGAACCGCGTAGTGAACAGGGTCCCTTTCTCTTTACAGTCACATGTCATCTGCAATGGGATGGGGCCGGGCATTATATGAGATTTAATTTGAGGAGAACATGATTTCTCTTCACCCTCACCCAGCTTTACAAAAGAAAGACTTGAACACACCCACCACACACAAAAGAATCGTCGTAAAAATAATTCAAACCAATTTCTGCATACAAAAAGACAAGCAAATGAGAAGCATGGAAAAATACAAAAGAAAGACTTGAACACACCCACCACACACGAAGTTTGAGAAAACAACAAGAGAAAGGACGACACTTTCCACCCAAAGGAAGGAACATACAATTTCATGAAAGTTTCCTCTTGAAACTATCATATTGTGTCCTTGTTTTTAGGCACGCATATTAACTTTAAGGACCACAAATAACACCAAAATACAAGAAAAACACAATTTGATAATTTCGGAAACTGTGTAGTTACAGTAGTGAGAGCACATGGTTGGGGGGAGGGGAGAGAGAGAGTTGGAAACCGTGTAGTTACAGTAGTGAGAGCACATGGTTGGGGGGAGGGGAGAGAGAGAGTTGGAAACCGTGTAGTTACAGTAGTGAGAGCACATGGTTGGGGGGAGGGGAGAGAGAGAGTTGGAAACCGTGTAGTTACAGTAGTGAGAGCACATGGTTGGAGAGAGAGAGAGAGAGAGAGAGAGAGAGAGGGAGTGAGAGCACACGGTTTCTTTTGCTTTTCAATGAAGAGTAAGTAGTTTAGGACAATTCTTTTGACTGTCAGGCCAATTATTTCAATAGGTGCTTTCTTGGTAAATCGATCAATCAGTAATATCGACATCTAGTTAAAGCATCCCTTTCGGTAATTTTTTTTTTTTTTTGCCTAACCTTTTGGCAAATTTACAATGTTAGCCTTCTGTCATAACTTTATTGAATCCCTTGATCATATTATGCAGGATTGTAATTAGGTACAACAATTCTGGTCCATTTTACAAGATTTTGGCATGAAATCCCCAGTCATGTCCCAATGGCATTAGGTTTTACCTTCTTTTCTTTTGTTGAAGGATTCTTTACCATATGTTGGAAAATTTGGCATCATAGTAATGATTTGATCTTTCAAAATAACACTAATGGCCTTAATCAAGCAATTAGTCATTTTAAATTTCTTCTCAGTATAATATATTAAATAATAACCTTACAGTTGCTCAAGAGCATTATCGCTACACCAGAGGTCTTACGTTCAATTTCTCTTCCACCAATATCACTTATATATTAAAAAATAATAATTATAAAAAGCACAAAATATTGTCCTCCAATTTGGTTAGGTAAATAATAATCTTATAGCTGTATTTAATCTAAAGAGGATGCTTGAAGTTCAAATTCTCTTTGCAGATGTTAGTAGCGCGACTCTTCATAGTGGCGCCACTCATACATTCATACGAAGTTTTGCACACATGATGACTTACGATAACAGTCTGAGGTTTAGTTTGAGATATAAAGGGGTATGCCAATTTCAGCTTACAAAAATAAAATAAAATTTGCTGGAAAGACCCAAAAGAAAAAAACCAAGATGTGAAGTAATTTTGGACAAACATGAGAAACAGCTGAGAGAAAGGGAGATGACAATGCATTTGAACTGAAGATTTGCTGAATTAAACTCGAATATTGTATAATAAACATGAAAATCCACGTACTTGGGACACAAGAAAACAAAAGCTAAAGGAAAAACCAAAGATAGTAGCTTAAGACCACATAAGTAACTCTTACCCAAAAGTTAATTTAAAGATTCCATGAAGTTGATTCTCACAAGTCAAAACTAGAAGCATCGATTCCATTTCGAAAGTTGAAGCAATAACTCATGGTGAGACAATCCAAAATGGGGTTCCTACAGTTTGAGGTTTCTTGGAGTTCATCTGACAAAAACAGGACTACTTTCCTCAAAGTCAAAATGGCAAGAGTCAAAGCATGCCTAAACAGAAATAACTTAGCATACAGCCTGTACAAACAATGGCTATGAATCGGGAGCATAAAAAATGAAAAATTTAGGCAGGCTAGCATTAAAGGTGAATTGCTCAAACAATGCCTGTACAAACTTATCTAATTCTTAACTATAAACTGTTATAACAGCATCCTAGAAGATCTCAAATTAAGTTTTAAGGAGAATATTTCACTATGTTTATGTGCTATCTATCGACTGTGCGCAAATGATTCCAAAAAACAGCTGATTCTCATTCTCTGAATCTGGAGTAGCTGATGAAACTAAGTATATTCTAAAAACAGTAAAATAGAACCACAGACATTAACAAGAAGACAACCACAGACATCATGTAACACTAGCTCAGACAACCACATACAAAATTGAGTTTCGTATTATAACACAACCATCACATACAAAATTGAGGTGAAGACTGATACCCGTGGAAAAACTTACTTGTTCATGATGCCTCCATTGACGGAATCACAATAATGCTTCATCCATCACATGAACTCCAAATTATCCAGAGGCCTTCCTTTCACATGCTTGCTCACCTCAATGTGCTAAAAATCCCCAAACACATACAGAATACCAAAAGAAGAGTAAAGAGATAAATTATTTAAAGGAATTTTACGGCAGAAATTAAAGAGAATGAAAATGCAAATTTACCATACGCTGGCCAGGAATAATTGTTGAAACATGACCCAGTTTAAGGTGCTTTTCTTCTTTGCTCCACAATGAATATTCAAATGATCCGTTATTTGAGCCAGCACATGGAAAATAGCAACTTCTAGCAGCGAAGTAAGAATGATTTGTATCGGCGAACATTTAAAAAATGAAAATTAAAGGAAAACGTTACAGTATACCAGTGACATTCATTTAAGAAAAAAGAAAACATCAGGAAGCTTTTTCATCTCTCTCTATACCTCTCTCTTGCTTGCTAGCTATGGCTTTTACCATTATTTTCTTGAGCTGATGAGGTGCTTGAGTGTCTCCAAACCCTATTCAAAAGACAGAGGAAATAACAATGTAATCCTATACACTAAGAACAAAACAGAGCAGTAAAGATTAATCCATATGAAGCAAGCATTGACTCAAAATTCATTAATTAGTCACCTCCTCTGCAAATGCTTCGCCCAAAGAGCAATATAACTCTGCACAAATCACAGCCCAACCCAGGTTTGTTAGGGCAATTTGCAGTGATCACAGTGGGTTCCCCAACCTTCTCTGCCTTGCTAATTACCACAACATCCTGCAAAGCTCAGCGGCAATGGAGAAAGTGTGAGCCAAAACGCACTGCATGCCAAAGTCAACAAAATTTCCTATCCATGGACTCACTGCAACCTTCTCTGCCTTCCTTTCTTTTCTCTCTGTGTTTTCCTAAAAGACTATAGTGCAAATATGATCAAGTTTTCCACTTGACAAATTACTACAAGCAAAATGTGACATTAATAAATGCAATTAGATCGATATTTTGAGCAAAATTTAAGATACTCAAACTCAAGTAAATCCAAAACTCAGTAAGAGACTTGGACTTGAAAAATCTAACAAACCCAAAATTGAAAGGTAGTCCCAAGAAAGGATGAAAAGTACTTCCTATCTCTTAGCTTGAGCCTTGAAATATAAATATCAATTAAACTAGGTATACCAACTTCATATCTCTGTTTTACAGACCAACAAAGTATGAAAAATGTACTAAAATCACAAGAAAAAAAAGGTAACAACAGCTTTGGTGGTCCAGAATGGATTAAAATCTGTAATAAAATCCTTCATATCTTTTAGCTGGAAAGGGAAGAATAAATTAAACTAGAGTCGTTGTCAAATTATTAAATAAAGATCAAAACCAAATTGTACCAACTTGAGATCTCTGTTTTACACAAGAGAGTCGGGTCAAAGAAAAAGAAAGGTGAAGGAAATTACCCGAACAACACCCTCCCTAGCTGACAAGACAAGTGTGGGAACCAATTAAATCAAAACCCTAGGTCAAATAATTCCTTCCATTTGGGGATTATTTAACCTAATTGGGAATTACTCAACCTAATTTGGAGTTACTCAATTTAATTGGGAGTTACCCGATTAAATTGAGAATTACCTAATTAAGTTGGGAATTGATTTGACTCCTACCCCAATTCTCAATTAAATGAGGAGTTACCTAATTAAATTAGGATTTGATCTGATACCTACCACAATTAGGGATTTTATTTACCCTAATAAATCAAATCCCTAATTAATCAAATCAATTCCAAATAGGGGAGGAATAATTCCCTTCCATCTATGGAATTATTCCTCTGAAACCCTAGCCTCCGAGACCACTATAAAAGGATGGCCACACACAAAGGTCAAGGTACGTCTAAATTCCTACTGAAACTCTGCAGAAATTATTTCTCACAACCCCTAGCCACCACTTTCTTTCTCTCTCTGACACAAGGCTCCGGCCACCACACACGGCTCCGGCCACCCGGTTTTCCTTGAAATACCCTACCTAACTTAGGCATCGGAGGGCCTTTGGCCAACACCCCCCGGGTGTGGTCCTTTTACCCCGATCTGTTTTGCAGGGAGAAAGAGAAGTGGAGAAGACGAAGGAATCTTAGACGAATATTCTCGTGAGGAATTTTGTACAAACAAATTGGTGCTTTCATTGAGAGCACGAGATATATTCAAAGCGTGCTCCAAATCCATCTTTCACACATTTTTTCAAACAACCATGGTTGATACAAGACGTACGAAGAGTAACGCCATCACGACGGGCCCATCTCATGGTTTCGTGGTGGAAACCTCAATGCAACAACACGGAATCATGGCTGCCAACGCCTTGCAGCCATCTTCTAGTGCTTTGCAGCCACCTTCAGCTGCTGGAATTGCAGAACAGCCACCACATGACCTTGGGACCTCTATAGCCTTGCAGTCGCCAGCGCCGATTACCGGAGCTGCTCTGCCTCGCTGTCCTGCCGTTGGAGCACAGTAACAACCACACCACTTAACTACCGGACTTGCTGCACAGCCCCATGGTTATTCTGACGTCGTCCCAGTCTTGGAGCAGATCCATTCTCTCCCTCCTCTGCGATCACACTTGACATATGCACTTGTGTACGCGTCTAATGGAGCCCTAGCCCACATGTCATTGGGCCCGATGCACACCACTCCACTTGACCCGCGCAGTCAGGTGGACCTTAACTCACGGGTTGATCAACTCACATAGAAGGTCGATGATCAAAACAACCTGATTTGCCAACTACTCAGGCAGATCAACTTGAATCAAGGCCCCAACCTTGGACCCCATGACGAGGAGAGGAGGGCACACGAGCATGCTGGCGAGCAGTTCGAGAGGTCCCAGGCTGGTCAGACAGGGGCAAACCCGCAGGGGAGAGAGCGAGATCGTGCAGACAAGACGCAGACAGCTGCGAGCCGTACTCTGAGCCGTTCGAGGTTAGGTCCCAGGACCAATGTGCTCGAGAGGCTAGGCCCACAATCCAATGTTCGTGCTTGCTTAGGTCCACAAGGAGCTCGAGTTCGTGAGAGGTTGCGGCGACAAGCTGTGGAGGGATCTTCCCAAACTCAACCTTCTCTCCTGCCCCACGGGTAGGGCAACCAAGGGGATCGACCCTTGGGAGCTGGAGAAAAAGTTAGCCAATCACGCTCGAGGCACCTAAGACGTCGACCTGAACGACCTTCCTTGCGAGCAGAGGGTGACGATCAACGCCCACCAGCCCGCTCGAGGACCAACACGCGGCGACAAGCTACAGAGGAATCCTCACAAGCTCAATCTCCTAATTTGCCTCACGGGCAGAGCACCCAAGGGGATCGACCCTTGGGAACCGAGGAAGAAGTTAGCCAGTCGCGCTCAAGGCACCAAAGACGTCGGCCCGAGACTCCAACCCTGCGAGCAGAGGATGTCGCAAAGCTAGTAAATGACCAACTCTGAGGTCTCTGACTCAAATGAAGCACGGAGGAGGCCCTGTGCAAGGAAATTGATCGAGTTGACTGCTCGCCCTTTACCGACGCGGTGGAACGAGCTCCGCCGCCGAAGCGGTTTACAACGCCATCCATCACTCCATTCAAGGGGGACTCTGACCCCGAGAGCCATTTGAGGCACTTCAGAGCGCCATGATCCTGTACAAGGTAAAGTGTTCGCGATGACTCTGCGATGAGCAGCTCAGGATTGGTTCCACACTCTACCGTCTGCGTCAATAGGCAACTTCAAGGAGTTCGCCATCATTTTCACAAAGGAGTACACCTCCTACAAGATGGTCAGAAAGCATGCAGACCACCTGTTCAACCTGCACAAGAAGCCAGACGAGTCTCTACGAGACTACCTGAGATGGTTTAAGGCTGAGAAGGCTACCATCATAGGATGCAACGACCAAGTTGCATCCTCAGCTTTCAAAAGGGCTTGCCAACTGAGCACGAGCTATACCGGGAGCTAGCCATAACTCCAAGTCAAACCTTGGCAGAAGTGTTCGCGACAGCAAAACGCTACGCACTTTGGGACGATGATCGTATCGCCGCAAAGAAAGCTAGCAAGCAAGTTGACCACCCGACGAAGCAGGCAAGCCAAAAGAGCAACAAGTTCGAGCAAAAAGCCCGAGATAAGCGCAGATCGCGGCCCCAAGAGGAAAGCTCAGAAACAGGGACCTTCACTGAATTCGCTATCCCAATCAACCAGATCCTAGCTCAGGTGAAGGACAAGCCGTGGGTGAGGAGACCACCACCCATGAAAGGAGACCCCTCTAAAAGAGACACCAGCAAATACTGCGCATTCCACGGGGAGCACGGTCATTACACCAACAACTGCAACGCTTAGAAAAGGCACCTTGAGGAGCTGGTCAGAGAAGACCATTGCACAGAGTTCGTTGCAAAGAAGGCCATCCAGCAGATCGAGGATCGTGATGCAGCTGCCAAGGAACCTCCCCAAAAGGTCATTCGAATCAACACCATTCTAGCTAACTCCCAAGAGTCCGGGCTGACCACCAAGGAGCGCAAGAGAAAGATCGCTCAGGCAACTTATGTCTCCCAAGTCACAACGGGAGTACCAGCCATTGTGGATACGCCCATCATCGGCTTCTAGAAGAAGGACTTGATCGAGCTTGACCTGCCACATAATGACGCCCTAGTCATCTGCATCCAAATTGAACAAGCTGTGATCGAGCGAGTTCATGTAGATGAGGGCAGTGCAGCCAACATCCTGCAACAATCTGTTATCCAACAGATGGGGTTCGAGCCCAAGATAAGCAAACTTGCCAGATCGCTCACCAGCTTCAATGGGGCCACATCAATCACTGTTGGAACGATCGACCTGGATGTCCACTCACCCCCAGTGGTCTGTTTGCAAATCTTCATGGTCATCGACGAGGTTTCCCCCTACAACGGAATCTTGGGCCGACCGTGGACCAGCAAGATCGAAGCCATCACATATGCTCTACATCAGAAGATCCGTTATCCCATCCCTGGGGGCGGGATCAGGCAGATCAACAGTGACCAAGCCATGGCAAGGAGATGCACAGCCCAAGGGCTCAAGAAGAGCAAGCAGCTGCAGTTCACACCAGTAATGCAAGCTGCCAACGAGGCAGGAAGAGCTCATAGCAAACAAGTAAACCCGAAAGGGAAGGAAGTTGCTGCCTCACAATAGCAGTTAAGGAACCAGGATCAAGGTGAGGGAATCCGCCCGGAAGACTCCCCTGAAAAGGGTTGGAAGCCTGAGGATGACGTTGAGTTAGTACCCCCTGATCCTGGCCAGCCAGACAAAGAGGCGCAGATCGGCTCGTGCTAGAATCCAAACAAGAAGGATCGAGACGAGGGAATCCGCCTGGAAGGCTCCCTTGAAGAAGGTTGGAAGCCTGAGAAAGACGTTAAGTTAGTACCCCCCGATCCTGATCAGCCAGAGAAGGAGGTGCAGATCGCCTCGCGCTAGAATTCAAACAAGAAGGATCGAGATGAGGGAATCCGCCCGGAAGGCTCCCTTGAAGAAGGTTGGAAGCCTGAGGAAGACGTTGAGTTAGTACCCCTCGATCCTCACCAGCCAGACAAGAAAGAACGGATCGGCTCGCGCCTAAGCCCAGAGAGAAGATGGAGCTGACCATCTTCCTCCAGAACAACAAAGACATGTTCGCGTGGTCACCATCTGACATGCCTGGCATTGACCCAAATATCATCTGCCATCGGCTCCATGTTAACCCTGCTAGCAAGCCCATGGTGCAGAAGAGACGCAACTTTGCTCCTGAGTGAGTCGCGATCATTGAAGCCGAGATCGACAAGCTTCTAGCTATCGGTTTCATTGAAGAGGTCTCCTACTCGGAATGGCTGGCCAACGTTGTTCTAGTGGTGAAACAAGAAAAGGGAAAATGGAGAGTATGTGTTGATTACACCGACCTCAACAAAGCATGCCCTAAAGACAACTTCCCATTGCGGAGAATCGACCAGCTCGTGGATTCAACTTCCGGCAACCAGCTGCTCAACTTCATGGATGCTTACTCCGGCTATAATCAAATTATGATGTACGATGATGACAAGGCGAAGACCTCTTTCATCATCGAAAGAGGGACCTACTGCTACAAGGTCATGCCCTTTGGGCTGAAGAACGCCAGAGCAACCTACCAAAGGCTCGTGAATAAAATTTTCAAGCAGCAGATCGGCAGAACCATGGAGGTGTACGTGGACGATATGCTGGTTAAAGCCCCCAAACGAGCAGACCACCTCAAAAACCTCACCGAGGCGTTCAGCTTGCTCCGCCAATATCGCATGAAGCTAAATCCAAGTAAATGCACGTTCGGTGTATCGTCTGGCCGGTTCCTGGGGTACTTAGTGACGCAACGAGGTATCGAGGCACACCCGCGCCAAATCAAAGCCATTCTCGAGATGAAGTCGCCTTCCAAAGTGAAGGAAATACAAAACCTGACGGGCAGAGCAGCGGCCCTTAACAGATTCCTCTCAAAATCTACCGACAAGTGCATACCATTCTTCAAAGCTTTAAAGAAAGGACAAAAAGACAAATGGGACGAAGAGTGCGAAGTAGCTTTCTAAAATCTAAAGACCTACCTTACTTCACCTCCCCTGCTCTCAAAGCCAGTTCCTGATGAAGACTTGTTCGTGTACCTGGCAGTGTCCAACTCCGCCGTCAGCTCAGCTCTCATCCGAGAAGAACTTGGGGCCCAACATCCGATATTCTACACATCTAAAGCTCTCCTGGATGCAGAGACTCGCTACCCGAAATTGGATAACCTCATTTTGGCCCTTGTGGTTTCTGCGAGAAAGCTGCGATCTTATTACCAAGCTCACCAAGTCATCGTCATGACCGACTTTCCTTTGAGATCAATCCTCCACAGCCCTGATGCTTCTCAGCGACTCATGAAGTGGGCTATAGAGCTAAGCCAATACGACCTCCTCTACCGGCCGAAGACTGCAATAAAAGCTCAAGCCTTAGCAGACTTTGTTGCAGAATTCACACCATCAGCCAAAGAAGAGAAGCTGGTCAGCAAAAAGAAGGAAAGTTCGAGAGCAGACAAGACCTCCACTGACCCTGACCAACCCAGAGACATGTGGCAGTTGCGCGTAGACGAAGCGTCGAACAAGAAAGGAGCTGGAGCAGGCATCGTCATCATCACCCCGGATGGAACCCTGCTAGAGCAAGCTATCACGCTTGGCTTCCAAGCTTCAAACAACGAGGCAGAGTACAAGGCATTGCTCGCTGGCTTGCGCTTGGCAAAGGAGCTATCAATCAAAAAGTTAGCCATCTACTCAGATTCCCAGCTGATCACAAGTCAAGCCTTAGGAGAGTACATGGCGAAGCACCCGAGGATGATCTTGTACCTTGACAAAGTCCAAGAGTTGTTAAAGGTGTTTCCCACCTTCACCATCCAACAAGTGCCCCGAGCAGAGAACGTGCACGCAGATGCACTGGCAAGCTTAGGATCGGCGCTGGATACCCAGTTCAGACGCTCCATCCCGGTCGAGCACCTCGACCAGCCTAGCATATAAGAGGCAGAGCAGCCGGACCTGATGCAGATCGATGAGGGCACAATTTGAGTTGGCTACAGGTACAGGGCACAATTGGCTGGCTTCAGCAGCAGTCTTGTTATTATAAACTACACATGTAATTGAATGCAGAAAAAAAAAATATTACAACATGTTCCATTTATGAGTGATTGGAGCAAAGTAAATCAACATATGATTAATCAACAAAAGACTATTTTCTTTTCTTCGGTAATAATAAACTATAGACTTTAATTTCAGGCATTATATTAAGCTTCCAAAATTAAAGTTAATTACGTTGATTTAACCCAAAAAGAAAAAATCAAAATACTCTAAAATTTAAACCTTTTTCTCTTCCTTTTTTAAATTTTAAGTCAACTTCCTCTGTTTCCTCCTCTGTTTCTTTGTTTCTTTAATAAATTAAATATATTTGACACCAAAAAAAATAAGTATATAATTATAATGCTACATTATTAAACATTCAAAATGCATATATCATTCACACAAATTACAATTAAACTAGTGGACCCAAACGGATTCTTATAACCAGGGGCGGAACTAGCATATGGGCTGGAGTGGGCTCTAGCCCAGGGACCCTTTTTTAAAAATAAAAAAGAATTAGATGTGGTTGTGCTTAATTTATGAGGGCCAGCGTTACGTGGCCAATGCATTGGACCATTGGTGGCTGGCTGCTGTTGTCTTTTTATTATTTTATTATTATTTTAAGTTGTGTGGTCTATTTCCTATTCAATAAAGTATTCTAGTTTCCCATTGAATAAAGTATCCTAGTATGATATGATGAAGTATCCTATTCCTAGCCTAGTTTGTCCTACGCAACTTTATAATTATCTTAGTCAGTCTAATAAAAAAAGAAGAAGAAGATATTCATATTTATGAAACTTAGCCCTAGCCCTAGCAGTCCCAAAAGAATATCTGCAGCGTTTTGTATTCTGTGCTACCAAAGTCAAGTTCATCGTCAACAAGCGTAATAAAGGTATTTAACTCTCCACAATCTCGAATTATTATTATTTTTTCATTGATTTGTTTAGTATAAAGTAAATTGTTCTGTTTTTTATATGTGTTATTAGATTATAATGTCACATCAGAACCAAGCAAGTAAAAGAGCAAAAACTATTGATTCATTCTTCAAGAAAAAAAATGATGGTGATAAATTAGAAAATGACAAGGCTTCTACATTCAGTGACAAGGCTTCACCATCAATTGAGTCACCTCATCACACATCTCCCCTAGTTGAACCTAACCAGTTTGATATTGCTTTTTTGGAACGAGACCCTGGGAAACGTATTCAAATATCTGAATACCCTATTAATCAACATGATGAGGTTCGACGTGCTTATATCAAAGTTGGCCCTTACCAACCAAAATTATCAGAATATCCAAGGTCTCAGTTTGGGTCGCAATATCGTGGATTTCAATATTCTTGGTTCTCTCCATTTCCATGGTTAGAATATTCCCCTTAAGAAGATAAAGTCTATTGTTTTCCTTGTTTTGTTTTTGGTAATGGTAGTCCTGCATTAACTACTGAGGGTTTTAATAATTGGAAAAGAGTTAATGACGGAAAGAATTGTGTATTTTTTACTCATGTTGGAGGTCCATCTTCATCGCATAATACTTGTGAAAGATGTATGGAGGATTTGATGAACCCATCTCACCATGTCGACAAAGTTATTAATCGACAATCAAAGGAAGACATTTTGAAAAACCGGTTACGGCTCAAGACAACGATAGAGTGTGTTCGATGGCTTACATATCAGGCATGTGCTTTTAGGGGTCATGATGAATCTTTGGATTCTAAAAATCGTGGAAATTTTATTGAAATGGTCAAGCATACAGCAAAGTTTAATGATGAGGTGGCTGGAGTTGTTTTAGAGAATGCCCCAGGAAATGCAAAATATACCTCACCCAAGATTCAAAAGGAGATTTTAAATATTCTTGCAAACAAAGTGAGAAAAAAAATTCGTGAAGAAGTTGGGCATGCTGCTTTTTGTATCCTTGTTGATGAATCACAAGATACGTCAAATAGAGAGCAAATGGCTATTGTTTTAAGATTTGTTGATAATGATGGTTTTCTACGTGAACGTTTTTTTGACATTGTGTGGGTTGAAGACACTACTGCGTCAACACTTCAAAAAGAGATCAAGAAAGTACTTGATCTCCATGAATTATGTATTGACAAGATGAGAGGTCAAGGATATGATGGTGCTAGTAATATGCGGGGTGCATGGAATGGGCTACAAGCATTATTTCTTAAAGATTGCCCATATGCATTTTATGTACACTGTTTTGCTCATCAACTACAGTTGGCATTAGTTTCAGCATCAAAAGAAGTAGCTACAATTTGGTTATTCTTTTCATCATTGAATTCAATTGTCAATGTCATTAGGGCTTCTCCAAAACGTCATACTGAGTTACAAGTTGCTCAATCAATGAATATTGTAGAGCTGTTGATTGCTGGTGAACGAGAGACTGGTAGAGGAGCTAATCAAATTGGTACCTTGCATCAACCTGGAGCTACTCAGTGGAGTTCTCATTATGATTCCGTTTGTGACTTAATAGAAATGTATGATGCAGTTTGTACGGTTCTTGAGAATATAAAGAATGATGGATCCACAGGCTCCTTACATGGGGAAGCTACTGGTGGATACAATGCGATTAGGCAATTCGAATTTGTATTCATCTTGCATCTATTGAAAGAAATTATGGGACTCACAGATATCCTTTGTCGAGAACTACAACATAAGTCTCAAGACATCGTGAATGCTATGAACCTAGTTGGTACAACAAAAGATGTCCTTGGAAAATTGAGATTAAATGGTTGGGAAACTTTTATTGGGAAAGTTGATTTGTTTTGCAAGAAACATGACATTGATATGCTTGATATGAATGCTCAATATAAAGTGGGAACAGGTCATTCTTGTCAACAAAAGGACAACATTACAGTTGAGCATCGTTACCACTTTGACATATTCAATGATGCAATAGATTTTCAATTGGCAGAGTTGAATAGTAGGTTCAGTGAAGGGGCAATGGAACTTCTTATTCTTAGTTCAGCTTTGGACCCTAGTGATTCTTTTAAATAATTTAATATTGATAAAATTTGCAGCCTTGCAGAGAGATATCCTCAGGATTTCACTCCAAAAGAGTTACATATTTTGGGATGCCAGCTGAAACTTTATGAGGCGGACGTACCTCATCATCCTGTACTTCAAAAAGTGTCTACACTCTCTGAATTATATGTCGGGGATTAGTTGAAACAAAAAGGTCAAAAAGATATCATTTGATTGATAGGTTGATCCGTCTTGTGCTAACTCTCCTTGTTTCTACGGCAACTACTGAACGAGCTTTTTCAGCTATGAAACTTGTTAAAACAGCTCTTCGCAACAAGATGGAGAATGAGTTTCTAGAAGATTCTATGGTTTTCTACATTGAAAAAGAACTTGCTGACAATATCAATTCAGATGTAATAACAAAAGATTTCAATTCTCTCAAGGATCGCATGGCACAACTTCAATAAGTACACTTTTAATTATGTTGTTGAACATATTATTTAATACATACTTTGCTTGGTTTATACTTTTATTTGATTTAATGTACACTATTAGCATGGTTTATATGATTTAATGCATAGTTTTATTTTAGTTAAAAAATTTAGCTAGCTCACCGGTCGAAAAATTCCTGGTTCCACCCTTGCTTATAACAACTTTAACTTTCAATTTTTGTCATTTCATGTCCATATGGAAATTTGACATATCAATTGGAGATGCTTTTAGTGTATTTAATCTTTTGCATCTTTTCCATAATGTATTTATTTAATAGCCTAGCTATGATTCTTATAATTGACTTCCAACCCCTCCCCCATAAGATGTGTTTGATTCATAGAAAATGAGGCTTGAGGTTGGGAAATCATATTTTTCTTCATATTTTGAGAGTCTAAATAACTTTTCTTTTTCTATTTCATGGATTTTGAACCTCGTGTTAAACATTCATGAAACCATGATGGTTGATCGTTTCACTGATGCAACATGATATATATATATATATTAATGATGAATTAGAGATGTTTAATTAACTTGTTTCTTAAATTTTTCAATAAAAAAAACTTGTTTCTTAATTTTAAATTGGAATGATGAGCGTTATGCTTCCTTCATATCATTATTAAGTCTTATTTCTTTGTGTATGGTAGACGTGTCAAACAGGTCGGGCTTATACATCCTATTCCACATCATTGTGCTTCCCTTTTTCTCTCAATAACACGTTTTTTTATTCAGAAATATGGAAACTACTTGATTATACTGACGTAGCTTTAGATTTATGGTATTTGAATATTTTTTTTTTTAAACATGTCTTTTCTGCCACCAGTTGTTGTAAGCCAATTGCGTGTAAAAGTACCAGTGAGTAGTATTTGAATATTTTTGAAAGACAAGTACTAATTTATTTTCCAGTGTAGTATCATCACTCCTATCATAGTAACTAATACATATCCTATTTTTTTGCCCATAAATACATATCATTTTGATCAAAATATCAAGCTTTTTTTTTTGTTCTGTTGAATTATCGTCACTCAATTATCATTTACTTATTGGAAATTTTTGACCTAATTATATGATTCAGATCCCAAGTAAAACTGTAAATTGAAATCGCATATTTATATTTGTGACTCTTTTTGCAGATTTTTATATTTTAATAGAATCAAAATTCGACATATGAAGAGACAGCTTCAAATTTATTTGCTATGAATTCTTGTAAGTTATTATTAATAAAGAAGGTTATTAATGGATACTCTTATTTTTTCAGAAGGATGTTCTTTTCTTTTCATAGGAATTAATTCAATAGAGATGAGGAAAAGTTAGTTATTATTTAAAAAAAATTAAGGGAGACTAACACCCTATTTGTTTGCTCAATTAGGAAAAGTTAGTCATTATTAATTTTGTGGAAAAATATTTCAGATAGTCTTTTAATAAACACCCTATAATCATCTTATATTTAATTTGTTTGCTCAATTAAGAAATATAATCACTTAATAAACACTCATAATTTTAACTCTCTACGATTTTATCATAATGTATGCTTTTATTTCTAGAAATTTTTTTTAAGATAATAACTTGTCTTGCTCATTTGCAAATGAGACTTTTTGCACCCAAAGACATCCTCATTTTCCTTTATGCGCATTTATAACATGTTTTCATTGTTAAGGACATCATAGTAATATTATATAGCAATATGATATGCCTTGTATGTAAATAGTAAGGATGATATGTTTATAGCTAGGGGTCATCATTTGGCTCACAGCCTACGAGTTGAAGTGGGTAGCCCGACCCGATAGTTAGGCGTTAGGCCCATTCTAAGGTTGGGTAGGATTTGGGTTAAAGTTTTGAAATTTGCGGCCCACTCTCGACTCGGCTCGATAAGACCCATCCATGGTCTAGCCCAATCTGAGTAGGTCAGCTCATTACTTCATTTACTTAAGTTTACGATGTAAATAAGGAAGTACCCCGTATTTAGTTGTGTTTTCTTGATTTTATTTGTTTCTTGAGTATAATATTCTCTAGTCAGTTGGTTGACCAATGAAAATTTAGCATGGAAATTACTACTAAGTCAAAGTACATTTTGACAAGCTTAGTTCTCCATCATCTTGGCCATACTGGCGTGGAGGCGCTCCACCTCCTCTTGAAGATTCCCCTCCACCGAAGGTTTCTTTCAGGAGGAATTCCCACGGGGGGTGTGGCGCTGGGTATCGGGGCTGGCCTCGCTTGGCATAGCAAAGTGTGGGGAGTAGAAGAGGTGACGGGCTTGATGGGGGAGGGAGCCAGCGGGACTGGTAGAGGGAAGTGGGATTCAGAAGTCGATTCCCACAGACAACGTCAAACTGTTGATGCTCTTTTTGGGGAAGGTCAACTTAGATAGAGAAGCGTTGGATCTTAAGCAGGGAAGAAGGTAAGGGCCTTCGGAGTTTGAAAAACCTACAGAAGACAAGGAGGAAGAAGCAGTCGTCAAGCTTCGGACACCGATGTGGTGCTTGTCGAAGGCTCTCCGATGCTTAAGTAAGCTATATGTGGTAATTTTGGCAGAGTAACAGTAAATGTGAGAAAATAGTTACCCATTTTACTCGGGTACTGTTCCCCATTTATAGGGAAGTAGAAATGAGAGTTTTGCACAAAGTTTCGATGTAGGACTTTGTGCAAGTTGTTATGGTGGTGACACGTGTCTTTGGAGATTAAGTTCGACAGTTGAGAGCTTCGACAGGT